GGGGGGGGGGGCGTGCGGGAGGCAGCCAATCAATGACTCTCTCATCACTGATCTCTCTCTCTCTCTCCCCCCCTCCCTTCCCCTCTGAAATCAATAAAAACATATTAAAAAATAAAATAAAAATCAAAGTACCTGGGTTTCTGGAAACACCTGGGCTGTTGATGGTCTTGTGCAGTGGCTTGCTGCAGTCGTGCTCATGTACCCAACCTCTGTACAAAGGCTGTGGGTGGACCCTGCCACCCCGACCACGTGCACATACCAGAACAGCAGACACCATGGACCACCTTCCTGTAACACGAGACCTTGCCAAACAAGAGGAAGCACCCTCTAGAAAGTAGCCCATTTGTGGAGCAGAGGGTGGTGGGGGAGGCTGCCCAGATAAAGGCCATGAAGAGGAGGGGACACGGGGTCAGGCAGGAATTGACAGTGAGGGAGTGGAAGCCACGGTGAGAGAAAAAGCATCGGTCTTTCTTTTTCTTGTATGAACTCTATGCAATGTATTAGCCCTGACTTGGGTACTTTACGTAAGCCCTGACTTTGTCATTTGTAAAAGGAAATAATGATGGCCTCACAGGGCCGGGAAGACCTATATAACAACAAATATTTGAAAACACATTTGTTGCCTACTTTATGGCTCTGGCTCTGGCTGGCCCAGATGCCACATCCATCCATTCATCCCATTTGCTAGGCTCTGAGAATGGCACAGTGCAGCTGGAATCTCTGCTCAGCAGTTCTCTATGGAGCCAGCCCGTCTCCCCGTTAGACATTTCCACGGCACCTGTGTTCTCTCTGTAAAGAACAGCTGTAATTTGAGAATTCTTCTAAGCAAGCTCACAGAAGGCACGAAACTCTTGCACACTGTCTCCAGAGCCTAGCACAGAACCTGGGACGTGGCAGTTGATCATTAAATGGACAAATTTTTTTTAAAGAATTATTTAATTGTCCCAAAATAAAGGACACAGTTAAGGGTATTATGGCACATTCATAAAATGAGACATTATATGGCCATTCAAATGTGTAGTCTGTAAGTTAGATATACATATGTACCAAAAAAAAAAAAAAAGACATAATGAAAGAAACCAAAATGTTAGTAAGGATTACATCTGGATGGCAGAATGATTTTTACTTTCTTTACACTTTTATTAGATTTTACAAATTTTCTACATTAAACACAAAATACATTTAGAACCACACTTATTTTTTAAAGGAAATAATTCCTTCACTCAATAGTTCTTTATTCTGAGGAATCAAATCAGAGATGCTGATAAAAATTATGCAGGTACAAGGATGTTCCCAGTAACATTACAGAACATAAAAAGCATATAGAACAATTTACATATGCAGAGGAAAGAATGAGGTATGGCCCATCCATACTCTGAAATACATCTAGCAGGTTTCAAAAATGATGTCATATGTGAATGTTTAAAAACTTCTAAAAAATACTCAAAGTAAAGACACAGAAGGAACATGACCATGCCCTGAAATATACCTTTGGGGTGTAAAACTTCCGTTTTACAAATTCTATTTGGGATCTCTCCTTCAGCCCAGGTCTTGCCTCCTAAAATCTGCCAAGACAACTAAGACTTGAAGCATCCTTGCAAGCTCGGTGGAGCCCAGGTGAAGGGCTCCAGGTGGGTCCGCTGCACTCTGGAAGGTTGTTGGTTCCCACCCCAGGTCAATTCTCCTTATAGTCTAGTCTTAATCTTATGCATCTTTTCCACAGTTTCAAGTGATTCTCACTTTTACAGGTCCATCCCGTGTCGTGTCC